TGAAAAATAAATAATACAATTTAATTTAATAATAAGAAAAAGAATACAAAAACCATCTGGGAAACAGGGACAGCCAAATAGCTCAGCAGATTAAAGTGCCTGCTTTGGTAGACAGTGGCTGGGGGTTTGATCCCTGGGCCTGCCATGCCAGCCGTGCCCCTGGGGTGCACTGAGACAGCGATTGAGACTGGGCGTGGTGGCGTGAGCCTGTAATCCTAGCACTTGGGAGGCTGTGAACAGGAGGATCATTATGAGTCCGATCTATGTAGTGAGACTCTGTAGACCTTGTACTAAATAAAAATAAATAAATAAAAACTACAACAAAAAAATCCGTCTGGTAATCTGAACAACTACTTTGAAGAAAACAACATACAATATAATAACTATTATTAATTTCCTATCATCTCGTTTTAATATTCTGTATCATTTTTATTGGTTTTTAAATTCTGTTTAAAAATTTTTTTAAAAAGCCAATAAATCCTAGCAAGGATAAAGAGAATATGAAAAAGGACTTTTCTTGCATTGGTGGTTGCAATGTAAGCTGTGATGGGAATCAGCACAAAGATTCCTTAGAAAAATAAGCATAGAAATACCATGTGTTCCAGCTACACCGCTCCTGGGCATAGTCCCAAAGAGAAGAGAAGCACAACACAGTAATATATTCATACCCATGCTTATAGTGATGCAATTCATAATAGCTAAGGTGTGGAAATAGCCCAGATGGCCATCAACAGATGACTGGAGGTAGAAGAAAAAAAATTATATATATATATATATATATATATATATGTGGGATATTATTCAGCATAAAGAAGAACACGGCATAAGCACCTACCTAGCAACTTCACGGTCCTGAGTTCAATCCCCAGTACCACAAAAAAAAAAAAGAAAGAAAGAAAGAAAGAAAGAAAGAAAGAAAGAAAGAAAGAAAGAAAACGAAGATATGCTCTTTGTGAAAGAATGCATGGAGCCAGACAGCAACACATTAAGTGAAATAAGCCAGACTCAGAAAGTTAAGATTCATATTTTCTCTTCTACAAGAAGCTGGGCGAGGGGGTACGCCAGGAAGCACAAGGTAGACCTTCAGAAATGTGGAAGGAGGTCAGAGGAAGGGGGAACAAAGCGAACGAGGGCGATGAAAACATCAAAGTATGCTAAGTGCACCCAGCAATTTACCAAAGTGAGCCTTACCATACTGTATTACTAATGTGCTTTGAAAAAATTAAAAAGGGAAAAATTTGTCTTTATAATTTATTTATTTTTATTACTACAAGTTTGCAGTACCCAAGGAATGCATTCATCGTGGGGAGCTGATATAACACATATTGCATCTAAGTCCTTCTTATGCAAAGGGAGAAATTTGAACACACACACACACACACACACACACACACACACACACACACAGAAAGATGCTAATAAGGGAGAGAGGACTGGCACCTATAAGCCAAAGAGACACCTGTGACAGATTCTTCCCTCAAAAAGGAACCAGTTCTGACGACACTTTGATTTTAGATCTTCTAGACACAAGGAATGTGAAGCCAGGCACTTCTGTTACTCCACATCAGCTCTACCAAACCAACACAAAGCCAAGTCAACTTAAGATGGCCTCTTTAGAGGTCTTGGAAGACAGATACGTGGCAGCGATTTTAAGAAGTAAGGCCAACAATAAAAAGTAAAAACAAAACAAAATAAAGAAGGCCGGTGCTAATCATAGAGATAAGAAAGGATGAGGGAAGACAGCAGAGCCTGCAGTTCAAAGTAGGTGCCTGAGCTAGCTGAGGTGCCGCACACTTGTGATCCCAGCACTTGGGAGGCTGAGGCAGGAGGATCATTGAGAGTATGGGACCAGCCTGGGCTACAGAGTGAGCTCAAGGCCAGCCTGAACTGCATAAGGAGATCCTGTATCAAAAAAAAAAAAAAAGAAAAGAAAAGAAAAAGAAAGGAAAGAAGGAAGGGAAAGGAAGGGAGAGAGAGAAAGAAAGAAAGAAAGAGAGAGAGAGAGAGAGAGAGAGAGAGAGAGAGAGAGAGAGAGAGAGAGAAAAGAAAGAAAGAAAGAAAGAAAGAAAGAAAGAAAGAAAGAAAGA